TTCATGTCAAAAGGGTTTATAGTGGAGGAATTAATTTTGAGCAAAATTTCCACGCAAGTTGCTCAAGCTACTGACAACAAGATTGTCACTAGCTTTATCATGCTTCAAAAAATTTAAGTTACTATATTAGTTCGAAAAGTGTTTGTTTAAATAAAAAATTAAAGAAACCCATCCTAAGAATCTAAATAGCCTAAGATTTATCAAAATAAGCCAATAGGGTTTAAAAATTCTTTTGTTTTAAGAAATATAAACACATAAATATAATTATAAGATAAAAATATAATTTGTAAAGAAGTTGAACTGTAGACAATAAACTGACAACAAAGAAATCAAATTGTGAGACTTTTAACTATTTATATATATGTCGATGATATCTTATTTGAAACAAGTTCTAACATCATGCATAAAAAAATCTATCAGATGATGAGCCATGAATTTGAAATAATGTCTTGGTATATGTGTTTCATTCTATTGTTCTGTGTCTATATTTAGGATGACATACTTGTAATTAGGAGAGTTTAGCCTCTATAAATAAGAGTTTTTTGTGTGGGCTGATAAAGAAGAGTATTTTGATTGGTTAAAAACATTTCCAGTAACCTATTGGGTTAAGAAATGAATTCAGTGTATTGGAGTGGCGCCTAAGTGGTGATCAACCAACTTTATTTCAGTTTATACATTTTATTTCCCTTCTTTAGAATTCTCAGTCCAGATTTCTTTCTTTCCTGAATTTAGAAACTACAGATTTCTGTTTAATCTTGTTTTCGATATCATTTTGGTATCAGAGAACGATTCTTACACATCTTTTCTCTTTCTTCTCAGAGATCTTGTGCATTTCATCATGCTTTTCTTTCCATTTTTCCGAATTTCTCCTCTGGATTTTAGTCCAGAATTTGCAAACAAAATTTATCCAAAATTTGCAGACAGAAGTCTGTTTTCTGTCCAGATTTCCTGGTTTTCTTCGCAATCAAAATTTGTTAATTTATGTCCAGTTTTCCTAGTTGTGGTCACCTTTTCTCTGACATCCAACCGTGGAGGTTTATAATCCTCCATCTTGGGTTTCTTGATTCAAATTCTTACCCAGGAATTTAAAACAAAATTGTTGTCCCTGCATTTGTTTATGGTTCTTTTAGCTCTCGACAATTGCCACTAAGGAAGAATAATGTCCTTCCAACCGGAGATTTGGTTGTGGAAGAATTGCAACAGGAAATTCGTTGTCTACAAACAAGATTGGCATTTCTTAAATAGCTAGAAACGGAAGAATGTCAAAATGAATAGGAAAATGAGATGATTGACGGGAAAGAAGATAATTCAATCCATAAAGAGACATCTAGTGGTGATGAACAACCTCTACCTACCTTGAGGAGTGAAATCAACAATTTGGAATCAAATTCAGCCTCCCAGATTTTGAGAAAAGATTGGATCCCGATAAATTCGTCAATTGGCTACATACAGTTGAACGAATTCAAGAATTTAAGAACATATCATCAAACAAGATGCAATCAAATTGAACATGAATGATTCACTTTCGTCAGAAAACTTATAGAGGATTCAATAAAGAAAGGGAAGATACAAGATCACGTCATGGACCGAAATGAAGAAAGAAATGCAATGGAATTCTTACCCATTCATTTTCGACGAGAAGTATTCATCTAGCTTCATAACCTTCATCAACAACAGTTATCCATGGAGAAATATATTGCTGACAACAAACTGTTGGGGCTGAAGTACAATCTTTCCAATCCGGAGGAGCAAATTATTGCATGATTTTTGGGTGCTCATTGACCATCTATCGCTAATGTGGTTCAGCTCCAACAGTTCTATACATTATAAGACATGATTACCTTCGCGGAAAAAGTTGAAAAGCAACAGAGATTGGATAGGAACACTTCAGTATGCATTCCTAACAATGATTTGAGTGGTTCCAGCAAATCAGCCCACTTTCGAGCACAAGCCGGTGGTCAAAAGGCTAAAAGCAGCAGCAAAACTGCAGTCCAACCGCAAGAGACTGCTACCATAGTGAGGGAAGGAAATACATCCAGAATCCGATGTTTCAAATGTCATGGGTTCGACCACAGTCTCAATTAGTCCTAACTGGCGCATTATTTCATTGGTGGAGGAGGTTGATCAAGAGAAAAATAATGTGGAAGAAGAAGAAGATACTAAACTATTAAGAACCAAATCCTACAGGCGAACAGAGGGGAATCACTTGTGATAAGACGTCTCCCATGTAATGAACAATCTTCCAATAAAGATTAATTAAGGCATAACATCTTTAAAATCCGCTACACAATTCAGGACAAAATTTATAACATTATCATCAATAGCAAAAGTTGTGAGAACATGGTTGCAACAACCATCCCCATCCCTACCAACTCACATGGCTCAAGTAGGGAGTTGAAATTAAAGTTAATCAGCAATGCATGGTGTCGTTTACAAATGGTCGAAATTTTAGGAGCAAGTTTTATGTGATGTAATTCCTATGAATACTTGTTACATATTGTTTGGTTGGCCTTGACAATATTATCGTCGTACAATTCATGATGGGCATGCTAACACTTATTCCTTTGTCAAATAGAGAATTCAAACCACATTGGTGCCTATGAAGGAGGAGATTTAGGCAGGGATTGAAATTAACACTTTTACACCATTGTTTTTTAATGACCTTAGGAGGTAGCTAGGGGATACCTCTTGATCATAACCAAGAGTTCCAGATAGCTGCCTACAACTCCTTCCAAAGTGCATGGACCAATACAACAGTTCGAAGTCATATTTCCAATAGAAATTCCTAGATGATTGCCTCCTATGAGAGGGGAACAACATTTTGTTGACCGTGTGTCTGGTTCGGTCATCCCCAACAAACCTGCATACAATGTTTCCATAGAAGCACGAGGAACTTTAAAGCCAAGATGCTTCGATCAATAAACTTAACCTACCTGGAGATTAGAGCAACTCCATTTTTCAATGTCTCTGAGTCAGCTGGTCACTAGGAATCAAATTCTAAGATTGCTCAACATGAGGGAGCATTGCAAACCTCGAGAGAATGACACGGGAGCTAGTTTTATTTCAATTTTAATGTCTTGGTATGTGTTTCAATTTTTTATTGTCATTATATTTTAGGATGACATATTTGTACATAGGAGAGTCTAGCCTCTATAAATAGAGCTGTTGAGGATTGAAAGTATTTTTAATTGGTTGTAAGAACAATTTCTATATCCTTTTGGGTTAAGAAGTGAAATCAATATCCTGTAGCGACGCCCACGGGAGATCAACCATCTTTATTTCAGTTTATGCATTTTATTTTCCTTCTTTGAGATTCTCGATCTACATTTGTTCCTTTTCTGAATTTAGAAACTACATATTTCGGTTTTTACCTTATATCTGGAATCAAGAAGTTATGGTTCTCACAGCGCTGAGACGTGAAAAAATTCAAATGATATAATAAAATAGATCTAACAGGACCTCTGAAAAATTCTATATTGATTCGCCTTCTCAGATAGCACTAATTAATTCAAAAAACAGTAGAATCACAGCAACATACAATCCCATTATAATAACTCATTTTGGGAAATTATATAAAATTTTTCGCAACCTAAAATATACCTCAAATTTCGCGCCCCTCAAATTTCAACCGAGTGAACTTTATAAAATTCTATGAGTCAAATCGAAAAATTTAATAGATAATACTATATATAAATTATGCATAAATTGAAAATTATAAAAATTTGAAATTATAAGCATAATTAAATGAATCAAAACCTTAATTTTCCTAAATATCTCCCTAATCCCCTCGTCACTATTCCCAACCAACTTTTCGATATTTAGTTTGAGAAGGGAGCTCTCTTGAGCTTCAAGTTCCTTCCCCTCACCAGAAATTTCTTTTCCCTTCTCTAGATTTCTTTCATTCCCCTCTTCCTGTTCGGGTCTCGCCGTTTGAAGCATCCCGTGAAGTCACACAAAAAAGCGCAATCCTGCACTGTAGCAAGTGAATCGAGTAACATCAGAGAAGTCGTAAGCAACATTTTAGGGCAACCCTCGCGACAAAGCAGAATTCCAACTGTTGTTACAGTGCAAGGGAACGAACAGACGAACCGAGCGGCACACAAGGTTCCCGCAGGGCATGATTTAGGGCTCCAAGGTGAAATCGAAGAGTATGAAACCATATTTCATGCTATTTGAGACTTCCATTTCATTCATTTTATTTTCATGTTGAGATTTGCCTCTCTTTTCATGCATCTCTCATTTTTGGTAGCCGCCACAAGCTCCGAAATTGTTGCAGAAGAGTCATAAGTAGCTGGAAGTTTCTGTAGTAACACCAGAGAAGTCGCAAGTGACATTTTACGGTCTCAAAGCTTCGCATTTTCCTTCTCCTCTCCCTATTTCTTCTTCTCACTTTCTCGACCTTCACTTTCTCGACCTTCCCTCCCTGTTCGTTTCACGCATGACAGAGCAGAGCCGCGACCCTTGCTACAATGTAAGGGCACAAACAGGCGAACCGAGCGGCGCACAGGGTTGCCGCAGAGCGCGATTTAGGGCTATAGGGTGAAATCGGTGAGGACGAAACCCTATTTCACGCTATTTGAAACTTCAATTCCATTCATTTTATTTTCATGTTGAGATATCTCCATTTTCGTGCATTTCTTGTTTCTAGTAACCATTAGAAGCTCTGAAATTGTGTCGGGAGTGTCGTAAGTGGATGGGAGTTTCCATAAAGCGATTCTGACTCAAATTCATTAGTGTTAAGAGGGAGTAAGATAAGTTAAGAAGAATATAGAGGAAGATTGGGCAGCTTTGGAGAAGGACTTGTAGCCGAGAAGGTTGTTAAAGGTATGTTTTAGCAAATCAATTAGTGTGACACCCTTAAATGATATATTTCTTTTTATCTCAACTCTTATCTGTTGCAATTCAAACCCCACCCTTGCCCCATTTTTTCCTCTACTCACACCTGTTGAAAAAGAGAAGAAAAAAGAAACTTCATTTGAATAAAAAAGGTGTTCTCATACCTTCCCTTTGGGTTTGAACCTTTGCGAAACCAAAGAAGAATTGTATCCTCAGCAAGCACATCTTGCTCATAAAGAGATCTAATGATTTCTGGGAATAATTTCATCAGTTTGGCATCCTCGTAACATTGAACTTGAACTTTGTAAATAAGTTCAAGTTCCAACTTCCCACTTGTACAAAAAGCATTTAAAAGTTCAGCCCACGTTTTAACCTGTACAAATTAAAAAAAACATAGAAAAAAAAAGAAAAACAGTTAGAAGTGTTTATTATAACTTTTTCAAGTTAATCTAGATAAGATGTAAATTATGTTAAGTTCTCAAGATCACATGCGATGCATCCACATTTACATAACCAAAGATTTTTCTACTCTTTCAAGTTGAATGAGCTAACTTTTCATAGAATTTAAGAAGGATTGAGCATCCTTTTCTCTAGTTTTGAGTCTGATCGTCCCAATTGAAACTCAAAACTTGATAAATTTAACAATTTATTTTAATTTCCTTGCAAATAAAAATTATATATGAAGAAATTCAGAAATACTAAAGTAAAGCTAATTTAATTGTTCCAATCAAGTCTAAAAAAAAATCCCTCAAGCCGTCCAGAAACATGGGATTAGCTAAAGACAGAAACATAGCATAACTAACCTGACGTAGCGCCGCATTAGCATTTTGCTGCTGGTTCTTTCCAGACCATTGAACTGCGTCCATTAGCACATCCCACAGCAAGCGTACAACCTCAATATCAGGCATATTAGAATCCTTGACTTGCTGTTTCATGCTGTCTATAACTTCAGAAATATCAACCTCTTCCTCGATTTGTGTTTTCAATGCTGATTTCATCTCCTTTAGCTTGACATCAAATATTTTCTTTTGATTGTACTCAACAAGAGAAGCCAGCCCTTCTTTCCTGAAATACAGAAATATACTCCATAAATTATAACAAAGACACCTATGCTTCTCATTAATAACAAATTCAAACTTGATTATTGATACTGCTAGAAATTTTAAAATACAAGTATCATCACAAAATTTTTACAATGTCAAGATGGAGCCATAAATAGATATCTATAAGCACTTCACCTCTCAAGCAATTGCAAGCACACAACATGTATAGCTGCCTCATGGAGATAGAGGTGGGAAAAAAAAAAGGAGAAACTTCACATACACAACTTGAAGGGAAGGAAAAACATCATAATCTTGAGAGAGAGAGAGAGAGAGAGAAAACACACAATTGACCTCACAACCTCAATAATATTTTTTTATTCATCAATAGTCAACAATCACTTATCAATTATAAGCCATATGTCCCAGTTTATAGAAATGAGGTTGTGAAGATAAGTTCAATTGCTTATAAATAAATTTAATCCTATCCAAAGCCAAATCATATCCGACTAAACATTGAAGATGAGGATGAAGACCATGACCAAGAGAAAGAATACTTAACTGACCTCATTACTAGCTGCCTGATGGAGATTAAGCCATATGTCCCAGTTTATAGAAATGAGGTTGTGAAGATAAGTTCAATTAGTTATAAATAAATTTAATCCTATCCAAAACCAACACATATCTTACTAAACATTGAAGATGAGGATGGGGCTAATGAGGTTGAAGACCATGACACATGTGTAATCTTTGTAATGAGAAACAACAATGAACTAAGTGATTGAGATATTGGCAACACAAACTTAATCTTCGATAGGTGTGAAATAACTAAAATAGGATGTGTGCTAGAATAATAACGCGTGCATGAACTAGGGCAGAATCTTTAATTAAAATCTGCATTAAACACTATACCTTCTAAAACAATGTTCTTAGGAATAATCACTTGATCGAACACAAGATTTAGCTCACCTCATATACTAGAATTAACCTTACACATAATCATAATGTAAGGTGTTGGTAACTCATAATTATTTACTTCATCATCCAAAAATAAAGTAACCTTATAAACATATTAAAAAAAACCGTCATCAATGACAGAGCTATCACCCAAAAAAAAAAATCTTCAGAAAAATCATCATTAATAAGAGGTCTATCAAAAAAATCTTATGAGAACCATTATCATAGAAAGAAAGATCAAGTTCTGGCTAACGTTAAATTGAAAAAGGGTTCAAAATTTTTGGGGCCAAAAAAAAAAAAAAGAAAAATGTTAAACCTGTAGAGTGGATTGCATGGAACATGATAAAAATGTAAATTTGTGATGGTTTACCACATTGCATAACACATAGTGTATTTTATCAAAACTGATGCAAAGCTTTTCATTATATGCATCATCAAAAGAGGTGATAATAAGAATCATTGTCATTATTATATACAATGGTGAGAAATCCAAAAAAAGATAGGATAAATAATGAGCATATTGATAAACTTTTCTTACCATTATATGCTGCCTTTAAAACTTAAGATGGTGGCGAGGGACTTGTAAATTTTGGTTGACCAACCATAATGTTGTGAGAAAGCCAACATGATTCTAAGAGCTCCTGAATCTATCGAATGACCAAAAATTCATCAATAAAGTTGCCCTCAATAAAAATCAAGAGGTGGTTTCTTCATGAAACGAGCTATGTAGGCCAACAAAAAAGATGGATAAGTTGCATCGATGTAGTATGTGGTCTTCCCAGGAGAAGGTATGCCACAAGATGACTACAATTGGGAGCACGGGTAAAACAAGGGTTAACGATGTGAAGGTGTAGTGAGTGGAGTTTTCAGTTAACATAAAGTTCTATGAGATAAACAACAAAGTCGAGGGTGAAGTATAGTGGCGCAAGGGCATGCGACTTTGCTAGATGAGCAAAGAAGCAAGAGATTGTAGTGAACAAAGATTAATGAAAGGAATCATAGAGGGGAGGTGCTATGAGAATTGTGATGGTGAGGACTTGGCGAATAGGATTTATGTGCAAGATATGGTTTTTTTATTTCCCAAAATAAAGTCCATATTACAAGGGGACCATGATGAAGTAAATAAAGGATGCGCAAAAAGGTGGATAGGTAAACAAAAATCAAAGAGAAATAAAGAATTGAGCTAATCTCACCCTACTATCAAAATTGATGAAGCAAGAAAAAGAAAACAGGTAAATGAGACAGTTCATATGCATGATTTGGGGTGAGGTGAGTACTACGTGTACAACTTGGAACAAAATAAGGAATTGGCTAATTTTAAAATTTTATGATCAAGTATTGAGGCATTTTCTGTCTAAGAGTAAACATAAATCTCACGACATTTTTGAGACGTTTGCCTCAAAGTCAGAACATTAAATTAATAAAAAATATGAAGTGAGAAGTACCACAAGGACATCATAGTAGGATATCAATATAAAATTATAACAAAACAAGGTACGATCATAACAATAAATCTTTCAAATTAACAAGATCAATTAGTTTAAGACACTAAATTTATAGTTTTTAATTTTAAAAATCTTCCTACTCACATTTAGTGTGTTCATTAGAATCATCAATTAAAAAGAAATACTTTATATCCCCCATCATCCTCAATTGTGTCAACATACACTAATTTTCATCCTCTTCTTCTCAATATCACCATCATCCTCTTCTCTAATAAATTAAAATAAATAGAAATATTAAATAATTTTTTAAAAATGATTATATTGATGATTACAATTTCAATTACATAATTTTTTATTACTATTTTTTATTACTTGTTGTTGAGTTGTTCTTATTCCAAAAAAGTTAACATTAAAGCATTCCACTTATTGTGATGGCATTAACTTCATTTTCATCTCCCATAAACTGCTCATCGCCTGATGACACAATAATTATAAGCTAATTGATCTTTTTCATCCTCCAAAATTATTTTCTTCGACATTTATCATTTAGTCTCTTGTTATTTATAATATAAATTAGTGATATCATCATTAAGATGATCAAATGATTTCTTCTCTTGGTATAAGCATGATTATACACGCTCCAATTTCACTCATCATGATAGTGAGCATGCAAGATTCAATACCTAAATTGCAAACCTTTGTAGTTCTAGAGTGGCGTCTCTAAATTGAATCCACCACATAAGTAACACAGTATATAAATACTAAAAATTTTCGTGGGAACATTTTGCTATGGTTTCTTTGGCATATTTTATTTGAAAGAATAATTGATTATGAATGCTACAAATTGAAGAATAACCTTTACACTCACAGTTTAGTGACCAAACAATCCATTCATTAATAGAACAAACCAAATTTGATTTATGAATTAGTTGACTTGAGATCAGCATACTGATATAAAAAATTTAGATAACTTGCAACGTGCAAATGTTGATGCAACTAAAAATATCAATTCTCATCTGTGATTTCCAAAATTTTCTTGTAACTAGACTCCTTATAATAATTTTTATGCTATCAACTCCATTGGCTGATCAAATGATCATAAAACATGAATCAAATGCTTAGTTGTCAAAATAGTATACGAATCACTCAAAATAATCTCCTTACTTCATTACCTTCAGGTTACTTAACCCAAAAATTTAACAAATATGTGGAGGTCAAAACAGAGACAAAACAATACCTTTCTTCTAGTATGCTATGTAGAGTCAATTATGTCATAGTAAATCTAAGAGTTGCGTGTCTTAAAATTCTTTCTTAAAAAACTTTCAACTTTCTTATAATTGCCAAAACCCAACTATGAGAATTCACTAATCTTCAAGCTTTGATCAACGTGTTTTTATGCTGAGGAAACTAATCAAAATTAAGGATCAAGGCAACCCAACATGTGGCATGTGCAGTCCACTAATTATGCTTACTGAACAATTAGTTTAATTCTTACAACCTCATATACACTAACATTATTAGTAATAATTTGGACAACAAAATGATCTCCAATCTTATCTATAACTCCATCTAAAACCCCAATGATCCACTCTAAATCTTTCACTTGATATGATGGTTCAACAAACTTATGAAAAAAAGATTCATAGCGAGTAATCATTAGAATATTAATCAAGCTCCTATTTTAAAATATCAAAACAACCATCAATCATTATTGTAGCTCCAACCTACATTAAAGTTCTCATATCCTTAAAAACCTTCTCGATGCTATTCAATTATTTATTCAATATCCAAATCATAAGCTCATACAAGGTGTTTTAAAGCCTTGATCATAAAAACTTACTGATTAGATTCTATTTATGTAGGATGGGGAAGTTTCCAAATTAATTAGAATTGTATTTTCATGGAATAATCTTTTAATGTCCATACAAATTTGCTTGCGAGCCTCACTTGTATAATATGGAGACATTCAATGGGCAATTATAGTTTCATCATACTTTTCATCCTCCGCAATTATCATGGATTGATCCCTAGATCTCCTTACACCGCGATTGGATATTCTTGGCAATGAAAAAAAATCTTTATCACCGGCATATTAAGATGTGCTACCATTAACTTATCATTACGTTAAACATTCAGCATAGCGGTTTATCCATATAAGCATGAAGCTCCTCCTTCGCATCCTCAAATGCCTTGGGATATGGTGCAACATTTTTCATTAGTTAAGAAAATCCTATCATTCCGGTTAAACAGTAAACTACTCTATCAATTATCATTACACTTAAAAATTGATGTTTATTTTCACTCCCTCAAATTTACCCTTACACATTATACATACACGTAGAATTTTTTATATTTCTCATTGAACTTTTCTTAAAGCTTCTAGGCATCTTAGAAAACCCAAAATTAAAGTTTTCATTTAAAAAAAATATTACAAAATGCAAATAATCAAACAAGGAAAATCTTAAACAACTAAAGGCAAAACTACATTCAAGAGAAAAAAAAGGGCAGGATACTAAGAAAATGAGGCAAGGCGGTGAAGTGGTATAGCTGTGCAAAACAACACTCAGAGTGACTACATAGGAGCAGTTGAGTGATGGCATGCGGGTGCACAATGACAAGTTGCTAGTTGAGATGGTTAGGTGAGATATTGAACGGAGATTATCAAAAAGAGATCTGAAATATGTATTTAGGTATAAATGAGATGAAATAAGAAAAGTCTTTGGGAATATATTTTATAATTTAATTTTTTAAATTACCAAAAACTTTAATATTTTTAGACTCGAGCCTCACAAAATGCCACGCCAATGTGTGTCTCAACCTTGTTGAGATGTATGCCTCTCATCAAGTCCTACATGAGGCGCCTCATGGTGAATTTTCTCAGCAAAACTAAGCTGTTCCACTTACTGCACATATATACACGGGATTTGGCCTCAAAAAAAAATTTCTTTCATCAATAGTCAACCAATTATCAAGTCATGGATCATAGAGCTAAAAGAATAAGACTAATTATTTCAAAGAAAATCTACCCTTGTGAAAAATTAAGTTAAATACAATCAAGAATACAAATTCAATTCTAAAACCCAAAAGAAGATAATTCAAACTAATCAAATAAATAATAAATATATTAAATTCTTCCAAAAAAGGATTGAAAATTGAACGGGTTGAACATCTTCGTAGCCCAATTTGATTTTGCTTTTTTTATTATTATTTCAATAAGCATTGGCCTTTTCAAGACTATATTAGCTCTTTATAGCCAGGTTTGACTTTGTTGGTTATTTCTATTAAGCATTGGCCTTTTCTAGACTATATTTATTGAGTTGTTCAGTATCACTAGCTTATAGCATCAATCACCATGCTACACCAGCTGATTATACAGACAATGCAAATATGTACCTCATGCGCTTACTCTTCAATTAGGAACATACATTTTTACTACTTTCCACAATTCAAGTCTTATGTTATCTAGCATACAAATTAACATGTATTAGGAAAAACGGAAAAGAAGCGATATCCTGTATAGCTTTAAACTGAGGAAAGAAAACCACTTTGAATTAAATTCTTACATGAAATGCTCCGAGAAACCTTCTGCAGTGCGTTTTGCAGTTGGAAAGAATTCAAGCATGTTATCCTCCATCTTTCCCTTCTTCAAAAGTGCTATAAGATCATCGATATTACTGTCCTTGAGATACTCCTTAAAAAAGTCAGTGATGAATGAAAGCACTAGCCCCTTGGCAACAAGATTATCCTTGAGCAAAGGCTGGAAGACGGTCTCTGGAGGAAGACCAGATAGCTTCTGAGAAAAAGTAAGGGCAGTGAATATAGCAAGCTTCTTCCTTTCATTGTCCTCAAATAGTTCCAAACACTGTAAAAATCTTCGCATAACATTTTCTAAATTTTTAATTAGAAAAGGTCGACGACGCAAAATTTTTTGTATATAGAGAACAGAAGGCAATATAGCTTCACGTGTTGCCTCACAATCTATAATAGAATAAGAATGTCGGTCTCCTTCATCAGGCTTTATTGTGCCAGGTTGAGTGCGGCCTCCGGTAAAAATGACCTTTAATTACACAAATACTTCATCAGTCAAGCAGCAAAATTTTAATAATCAGAGGCAAGCCATGAGTGCTAAAAAAATTAGTAAATAGTTGGAGATCTGTATGAATTTAGCTAATTAAATATTTCAGATTTTGCTTGACATTCTATGAAAACTAGAGGAAGCCTGAATCAGCAGGTAAAAAAGAAGGCCTGCATAAAAAACTATCAAAAATTTCATATAAGTTTAACCCAAATGTACATTGTCAACCACTGCAAATTTCACAAAGGTTTCCATTGTGGACTTCTAAAGCCCTAATACCTAAAATCTATCATAAAGGCGTGCTCCACTTTATTAGAAAACAATGGAGGCAAAAAATGTGATGAAATCCCCAAAACATCCTTAATAAGACTACATTTGCGGATGGCATTTCTTTCTAGGGCCAAATTAAGGTCCAAAACTAAACAAATTATAAACAATAAAAAGCCACCAATCAAAGCTTTTTAGGCAGCGAAAAAAAAAAAACTTATAAAATAAAAGTTAATTTATGTTATTATATAGATTTATGTGTTAAGCAGAGAAAAAACCTGCCTTCAAAAATTAAATGTTGATTTATGTAATATAAGAAATAAAACTAGCCATGGCATTGCACTAATTATTTTGTAAAACTGGCATGGCCACCTCCATATGACAACCAATAAAAATCACACTTTGTAAATGGCACAAGTACATTGAAATGGCATTTACAAAGGGCATACTTAAAAGTAACTTGCATGGCCATCAAATTATGTGGACTCGACATAACATAATTGAAAAAACATTAAGTGAACTTAATGTAAGCCATTGAAAAACCTGAGATGGTGCAACATCAATAGGATTTAACAGGATTTAAAATATCAACAATACATTAAGGCCACAAGGTTTACCGTTGGCCATCCCTATAGCATCAGATTAATCTGTCAGGTTTACTTTGTCATCCATATTATATCCTGTATTTATACAAATAGTTGTGGGCATATGCATGATTTTCTCTTAGTAGAACAAATTTGGTATTTCCTAAAATATTTTATAGTGGATTTGTGAAAAGTCATAACATTTAATATTAAAAATTGCAGCACTATTCAAGTAAATAAGAAGGTTGAAATATCAAGTGGAAGTTTCAAGCAGCCTTTTCCAAATACTTGAGTGTTTGATAGCTGTACACCAAAGAATTATAAGCTTTTCTTTTTCTTTCAAGCCAAGTACTCAAACATGGCCACTTGGGATCCTTCAATTCATTTTCAATCAATGTGTTGCATGTCCGAGCGCTACCAAAAATCATAAGTTGTGTACCACAGAAAGCATGTGATTTTCCAGAGGTTATTTGAAATTCCACTATTTTCAACATCAATTATCTAACTATAGTATCTTTACCTAACATCAAACAAAAAATTCTTCATCTGCATCTAGGTATCAATGAATTTTCTAATGGGATGTCCAAAACTTTGTAATTTCACCCCATCCTTCTAATGACAATTTTTCTCTCTCTGGATAATTTCCGTCTTGTCAAGCACTTGCCCCGCCTTGTCTACCAGGCAATTTCCAGACCTCCGGCTCATCTCTTCGAATTTCGAAAATAACCAAAATCAATAAACAAACAAAGTTCAACTTACGGCACCAAATCAATTTCTACAATTTCTTCAGTAAAACTCAATTGGTACAATGCTTTTTCCTGCTTTGTTATAGCAAGTTTATCTTGAGCAGAAATGACTTTCAAAGATACCCAAATAGTACATAACGTCATGAGCATAGGAAACAATCCCTGGACCAACTCCCCAACCCATTAAAAGTGAAGTGATTTCAAATCAAATAGCACAATAACAGCACAACATTTGCATAGCTGTGCCAAATGAAACTTAAACTAGCCAGCATAATTTTAAGGCAAATCCTGAACGACCTTCCAATTTCAAAACAATTCTAATCATTTACACTTCCCAAAACTACCCAATTCAAAATCAACTTTGAAAAGTGAAAGTTCAGATTCTGGTTGTTGGCAGCAAAATTTAACCAAAGCATTCACCTCCCTCTTCCTGGTTTTACACAATACTACGTTCCCTCTTCTAGTTATGAAATTTTTAAAATTTTATCCAGACAGATTTCCATAAGATTAGATATAACACCCTGTTAGAAGTCCATAATTGATCATATCAACCAAAAATCAAAAGATGCAAACCAACCCAAACCAACAGGCCAAGGTAACCTGACCAACCCAACCAATATATATGAACCAACAGACCTATCAAACCAAAAAAAAAACAATAATAATAATAAACCAAATAAAAAAGAACAAAGTTTGTTTTCTTTCAACAATCTCTTGGCTGATTACAACACTATGCATCCCCTAAATGCATTTAAACTCTAGAGTAGAAAATTTTGTACCCTGAAAAATTGATGACAAACCATCAATAGTATTTCGAAGAAATTCAAGTGATCAATCATAAATAATGGTGGTTAGTGTCAAACAAACACATCATGTTTGCCTTTCATGCTATATTCGTAGTCCTATTTATGTCAAAATGCAATAGGTATCAAGATCAGCTCTTTTAGTTTAGCAACTTAAGCCATTATTAACTATTTTTTGTCATTTGAAACAAACTATGCAATTATAAGTAATAGTAATGGCCTCGTATTTTAAAAGGCTGATTGATTTGGTGAAAGTTGTCAGCCTCTTTCTTTCTAGTTGAGTGTTTAATGTTTCCTTCTGTTCCTGAGTAAACCTATACCCGGAACCATTAGGTTTGATATCACCGAATAAATTTTGAATCAATTTCTATCTTGAGCCACTCTAAACTTATAAATTTGTGTCCAAAAATTTTGAAGTCTATATGTGCCCATCCAGATAATATACACTAACGCTCTCAAGCCTATGTCAATTTTATCAAGTGCCCAGGGTTTTTTTCATTGCTAGTTAAAAAACAGAAATACACATTTTCCCAAAAGGTGCTCATTATGATCAATCCGATGAGGGTAAGTTTGGGGCAGCTGCGGCTTATCAATAAGTTGTTTTGCAGCTGCTGCGCAGAAGATGTTGCGGATAAGTTGGCTGACTATTTATATTTTGCAGTTTGAAAACAGTTGTGCTGCAGTTGTTACTGGAAAAATGCCAATTTTGCCCCTATATAGTAATATTTTTTGTAACAGAACTGTCATAGCAATATATTTGATACTTGAGAAGTAAAAATTCAATTCATAACAGTATAAAAAATAAGATATATACCTCACATAATAATAAACATCAAAATTTCTAAAAAAAATTATTAAAATTACATTTAATAATATGATAATATTATTTTTAAAATGCAGACAGTATATGTCACAAGTTACATCGTCCTCCAGGGATGTTATCCATTCTCGATCACTATCAACAGTGGAATCTATCAGATTGTCTGCCCACCGGAAGAAGTCACACTTTTTCATGATTCTCCGCAGGCACCTATAGAATTGTCTCGTAGTTATGTGTATGTCGCGACGTCAGTAAAGAAGTCTGAAGTCCGCAGTGGCAGAGAAATCGTCGGGAGGTCCCTGAAATCCTGGAACTCATCTTTGTTGAATGCAACAAAAAGAATTCCATTAGTCATAACACAAGTTAAAATTGCTAAAAGAAGTAATTATTTGTAGTTTTTTGTAGACGTGAGGTATCAGAGAACTCAGTATACCAACCAACGAATCTGTCTTTACAAGAAGAAAACATACCTTGTAGAAAAAAGGGTTCTTGGTTGACTTTAACCTACGTAAAACCAAACTCGCATGTGTCACATGTACATATCACCAAAAAAGATCATCCAGAAGAAGATCCTCAAAAACCATATCGCCTAAAAGAAGAGAGTAATTTGGTTGTCTTCATTAGGATTTCACATGTGACACCAATCGACAGCGACTAACAGGTCATCCAGAAAAACCCATAAGATCAAATGTTTCATCATGAACCTCTCAAACCCACCAAAAGAACACAATATTTAAATGCAAATGGAAAAAAAACACCTATGAATAGCGTAAAAAACCCAACTAATCAATATCAGATATACAAGAAATGAAAATAAACATGAATTGTACCCACCAAATGAAAACCAAATTAAATGAAATGGAAAAAAAACACCTATGAATAACGTAAAAATTCGATGAAAGATATACAAGAAATGAAAATAAACATGAAATGTACAAAATCATATATATACAAAAAATGGAAATAAACATGAACTGTATAAAATAAACAAATACAAATTGATGAAAGAAGTAATTACAGTTTTGTGCAGTCGTAAGATCTCAAAAAATTTAGTATACCAACCAACAAATCTATCACTACGAATCTGTCACTAAAAGAAGTAGACATTGTAAAAAAAAAGCTCTTGGTTGTCTTTAACCCACGTAATATCAAAGCTCGTTTCTGTCACATGCATGTCACCAAAAAAGCCCTTTCAGAACAACCTCAAAAACTGTCGCACCGAAAAAGAAGAGAAATTTGGTTGTTTTTATTAGAATTTCACATGTGACACAAACCAATAACAATTAATTGGTCATCCAAAAGAACCTATAAGATCAAACATCTCATCATTAACCTCTCAAACCCACCCAAAAAAGCGAACTGCAAATGAAAAAAACACTTACAAATAGCATAAAGAGTTCAAACAATCAATATGAAATGTAAAGTACAAAGTGTTGAATAAGCAAAATAAAGTACAAATAGTATTGAATAATATATAAATACTCCAATCACCCTTCTACTATAAGATCTGTAATTTGTTCTCTCAACTTTGTCATCTCGTTTGCACCTTTCCCATCATTAGTACAGGTGGCGGAATCATTATTCTTTATTTGTGACAAAGAATGTCCAAGATGATATTCAAATGTCTCGGCAGATGCATGCACATGATCCTCGTTCACCCTACGGAAGTCGGTGTCGTTGCGGGAATGATGTCGAATATAATTGTGGAGAGTTATCATGACAATCACAATCTACACCTGTTTGGAAAACAAATAAGATGGCA